TTTTATTTTTCAAAACACACACACACACACACACACACACACATATATATATATATAATTACTTTTTATAAAAAAAAATTATAACATAAATATGTTATAAAATCACTACAAAAATAGCCATTTTGTTTCAACACCCTCGGTGTCTTATCAAGTGATGATGTTGAATACGCCAATTATATACTTGTATATATATATATATATATATATATATATATATATGACAGGCGACCTGGTGGTGGCATCTAGCATGAAACCGCTGTCGCCTCTGAGTACACACGCTTATATAGTGAAGAGTTGAACACACACACACACACACACACACACACAGACACACACACACACACACACACACACACACACACACACACACACACACATATATATATATATAGTGAAGAGTTGAACTCTTGCCTTTTCCAGAGGTATTAGTGCAAATTGATATCAGGTCTGGAATTACCTGTTAAGTTACTGATTTTTTCTGCGCTGATATACTTTATGCTATGTATATATGTGTGTGTGCGTGTGTTTGTTTTTTGTGTTTGCGTATGCATATTTGTTTGTTTGTGTGTGTGTGTGTGTGTGTGTGCAAAGTACGTATACAAGTAGTAAGAAAACTTATATTATAGACGAAAGTAAATTATTTTCCTTGAACATTGTAAGGTTTCAGTATTATAGAACTATTCTGGACAACGTGATTTCAATTTCAACATTGAATCTACTTTACTTTCCTTTTATTCTATCCAAAGTGCAGAAAATGTATCTATTCTTTATATTTTGATACACCCTGGGGACAGAAGCCTAACAACTAACCGAAATAGCTACAAAAATATTGCTAAAATTTATTAGGAGTATAAATTATTCTGGGCGTCTTCTCTAACAATTTTCAAAACCTATAGCACAATGAAAAAAAGAAGTCTGAGAGATCTTCTATGTAACAAATATGTTATGGTTGAATAATTCCCGAAATGGAAAACAGATTACGGCCTATATAAGTAGCGTGCCTTCGACAAAAAATGTGAAAGCCGAGGTAATAATTTTACAGAATCCGTCTTTCGTGACAAAGCGACCATATTTTACGCTGTGCCATTTTTTGAGAGCTGCTTTTTGCCAGAGATAAAAGTTGAGACGAAGTTCCTAATGACTATTGATTACCATGCGAACAGTATCTACCTAACAGCAACAAATTATTTAATCCAAGAAATTAGTATTTGTTAATTTAATTATGCATGTTCAATGACTAAGGAAGTCCAGCTGCGTGTGCTAGTATAAGTTTATTGGAAGAATTGGTCGTGAGTTTACTGCATAGTAATTTCTAGTAGTCACATGTTCAAATGTGTTTTACTAGGTGCCTTATCAATGAGCTGCCCATCGGATTGGTAAAAGTCAAGTAAATATTTGCATCTTCACATCGCAAAGCGCGACAATCTTCTACAAAAATCTAGGAATCCAGTTGCGAATACAGACGAAGTGAATTTAGTGTTATATTATTATATGTTTTATTCCACTAAGTCACAATTTTCCTTCACAATCTTGTAAATTAGTGTTAGAAATATGAAATCGCTTAAGGATGTGATCTGTATTTCGCCTGGCATTTTTAGATGGAAACTGTCTCTGCCTTTCATTTATATATATATATATATATATATATATATATATATATATATATATATATATATATATATATATATATACAATGACGTTTATAGCGGAATTCACCATAGAATAAGCCGAATTCTTCAGAGTAGAAAGATAACGGCAATCGTAATTGTGAGTGTATCCGTTTCCTTATAAGGAAACATTCGGCATAAATTAACTGAACAGTTCTTGCTACTATTTGTTAACATTCATAAAATCTTTCCGTTAAAAAATATTCAAGAATGTACAGAAAATGTTACCGCTTTTTCTAGTATTAATAGGGGTTACCTTGATGACATTTTGTTCAAGGTAGTGTAGAAAATCGACAATTATATCACTATTTTCTTTTCACAATGCACATAATATCAATTTCAGTTGTTGCTGATACTGGAATTTTTTTAAGTGATATGCTTTTAGCTTCATTACAATTGTCTTCTTTCTTCAGAGAAAAATGGACGAGATTTTTCCTTCGGTACCAGGAATACATGATAGAATGCATTACAGTCGACAGCGGACAGCGTAACATCTTATCATATGTGCTTCATAATCTTGATCAGAGGACACTGGCTAGAAAAGTCTCCGGTAAGAGTGAATCTGGCTCAAATCATATGAATGCTCACAATATAAGATAAAAGACGCATATCCAGCGTGTAGGTAAGTTCAGCATTCTTTAGCAACTTTGGGATAATGTGACAGAAGACATTTCAATCAATCTCTTAACATGACGAAGATCTGTAATTTTATTTACTATTTATTTTATTTTTCATTCTAATTTTAATTTTTTTTACATCAGTAAGGTTATATATGTTCCCTAATAGTCCGGGTCACACTTCTCCTCGGTCTTTTGAACAAGAGTAGAGATTTAACTCTTCTTGGCTTTTTAATATTCGGTTTCCATTTCCTTCTAAAGTTTATTTCTATTCTATACGACTAACGTCTCCGGCTAAACTCTGTAATTTTATTTAAATTTATTTTTACATTCCATCTTTATTTATATTTTTTTTCGTCAATAGTAGTAGATAAGTTCACCTATCGTCTGTTTCACATTCCTCCCAGTCTTCGAACATGAGTAGAGGTTGATCCCTTGTTTTCTATCTAAGGTTGGATTTCTCGTTCCTACTAAAGTCATATCATTCTCTTTAACTCTCAATAGCCTGTTGCGACTTACTGACATGGTCACCTAGCTTGGGTATATAGGTTAACACACACACACACATATATATATATATATATATATATATATATATATATATATATATATATTCATATAAACAAGGTATTCATGTCAAGGTGATCATATACATACATGCATACATACATATATATATATATATATATATATATATATATATATATATATATATATATATATATATATAGTTTATGCAAATTTAGGTAATCCGTATGGGTAGACATGAGGAGGATGATATCCAGAGAGCTCAATGTAAAATTCAGAGCAGATATGTTTGACTTAAAAGACAGACCACGTTAAGATTCCATGTAATGTTATTTCACCATAACCCATTTAACAGGGTTCTGGATCATCAGACTTTACTTCCAAAAGCTGAAATGAAAAATGAAAAGAAATTCACACGTTTTTGACGGACCTCATCAAGTATACGCAAAGTTAACGAAGTGAGGAAGTGAAGTGGGAGAGAGGATATGAGTGTGTCATATGTATCATTTTAGTTTCCTATTTTAACCCCAGTGTGTCGGCTGGATGTTGTTCAAATTTAACGCGTCTCGTCTCTAGATAAAGGTGGCTAAGGGGTGAACGATAAGAACTACATTAAAGAAAGACGTTACAACAACCCCAATAAATTACACGACAGGTTTCATTCAAATTCTTAGACGCTGTCAGTTCGCGTTACTTTAACGTGCATATTTGGGAGGTTAAGGTTTGATAAATATCTAAATTTTAAAACAATCTACGAAGGAATTAATTTGAAATTCGGTGGAGTTTTGGGTATTTTCTATGAAACAGTCGATTGGAAAAATCCATAGACAGAACATTGAAAGAACAATCCAATTTATATTTAGTAATTTTTTTTTTCCTTAAAACTTTTATCTTATAGCTTGTTAGGTTGACATTTATTCGTTTGATTTTTGTTCATTAAGTAAACTCGTGATTGTTTTTGATTTTTGTTCATTAAGTAAACTTGTGGTTGTTTTTATGTACCCAATTATCAACAGTTATTCCCATTCTATATATATATATATATATATATATATTAAGCTATTCACCCAATCAAGGTGATTATGTCAGTCAGTAATATATATATATATATATTTATTAAAGACATTTTTATGTTTAACGTTGTTATTTATAGATACAAGTATTTAAGCAAATGCTCTGTTTATGATAAACAGTATTAAATAACATTTACCGGCCTGAATGTCCGAGAAATTTTCATAGAAAATATTCGTTCTTTGACAGGATTCGAACCTGCATCCTATACGGAACCGTCATATACGCTGACGTGCCTTAACCGTCTCGGTAGATTTATTTATTTAGATTTATCCATTGAAACTTGTATGAAAAAATAATTCAGTCAAAAATTGGTTAGCACTTAGTTAGATAAGTTGATAGGTAGATAGGTTCACAGAGCTCCCCAATCTTTTGAACAAGAGTAATGGTCTCTCTCTTCTTTCTTGTTTAGGTTTCCGGTTTCTTCCAAAGTCTTTTCATTCTGTGTCTTAGAGTCAGAATCGTTTTTCTTGGGATAGATTAAAAGTATAAAAAAAAAACAGTAAATCTATTACGATAAATGGCAAAGCTCAGCCGAACGTGGCATCATATCTTACGTCACTCTTTATAATGATGCTGTCACGAATCATGGCACGACCTCGAATATATATTTCCTGGTACGGACAGGGATTCCCAGTGTAGTCAGTTAATACATGAAATCTTCTACATTTCCTTCCATGTTCCGTCTAAGCTAATCATTTAGAAAATCAGGAAGATATTGTATACACTCCAATCTATCAAATCTAATGGAAACTAAAATACGACCAGGACATCGAATGAGATATTTTATAATAAGAATATTTGTGAGAATCTCTACATTTGTTTTGTTTTGGGTACTTGGTACGGTTCCAAGACACACCAGAAACAAACTCTGAAAGTAGGATCCCTAACACCGCCTCATCAATATACAAATATTTTTCCTGACAGCAAATATATTGACGAAAGCGATATCGCTTGTTTTAAATTTAATGTGACTTGGGTTCTGAAAGAACCAATAAAGAATATTCTTGTGAAAAATTATAGCAGTATTGGAGCGAAGAAGAAACACTTAAATTTAAATCTTTTGCCCGAGATGGAAATAAAATTGAATATAATCTACATCTATCTTGAAACCACTCTACCAGTGAGATAGATAGATAGATAGATAGATAGATAGATAGATAGATAGATTAGTCGGTGGAGTGTGGTATGGATATTCTACATGTAATTATAACTTTAGGAAAATTGAAAATTGGAAAAAAAAAACCCAAAAAACAAATAACATAATTTACGATAGTGGGATGGCGGGTCCAATTTCGACGAGGATTCGTTTCGGGATTATGCTTGACATTTATGACTACGGAAAACTGCGATTACACCATAGTGTCTGAAAGAATGGGCACTTTTTCCGGCGAAAATCTGTGTTATAAATAAAGAAAATAGATAAAAAATAATAATTATGCTGAACTCAAAACTATGGGAAGATGAAGGACGATAGAAATATTTGAGTATGGGAAGCAAAAGGACGATAAAATAAAATAATATTATTATTGAAGAAGAAGAAGAAGAAGAAGAAGAAGAAGAAGAAGAAGAAGAAGAAGAAGAAGAAACAAACAAAAAAGAAAGAAAAAAGAAAAGAAGAAAAATAAATAAATAAAAAAAGAAAGAAAGAAAAAAATTACAGGAACAAATTACGAAGGACTGGGAATATTTTAGCAGTAATGAAAAAGAACGACTAGCAAAGATTTCCATTTGTAGTTCAGAATTTCATCTGTGACACCAGTGTAAATAAATACAAGGAGGAAAATAATAAATAGATATGTATAATAAATATTTCTGTCAGTATAAAAAAAGCAAAAAAAATCAAAATAATAATCATGACACTTAGAAAGCATTGTCCTGTTGGTTAAGTTCCAAAAACCGTCATAAGATTTGCGCATTTTTGTTACACAGATCAATTGCTTTTTATTAGGTTATTAATCTATGCAATTCTGTTTGGGGGTTAAAAGATATGTGATTTGCTTTCCTTTTACACACACACACACACACACACACACACACACACACACACCTATATATATATATATATATATATATATATATATATATATATATATATATATATATATATATATATATATATATATATATATATATAAAAGCAAATATATGGATATAGATCCGACAGTATGAAAAAAAATATATACGGAAAAAACAAACAAAAATTCTTATATACAATTTATACTGTTTTAATGTTAATATATCAACGTCGGACGTTTCGGTCTAATAAAACATCTTCAGGACATATTCATAAATTATAACATTTGTCATGTTGTATTGATAATGTTATAATTTATGAATATGTCCTGAAGATGGTTTATTAGACCGAAACGTCCGACGTTGACATATTACTATTAAAACAGCATAATTGTATATAAGGATTTTTGTTTGTTTGAGTAAAGAGATAGATAGATAGATAGATAGATAGATAGATAGATAGATAGATAGATAGATAGACAGACAGAGACACGACAGAGCGTGCGATGTATAAATTGCCGTCTATATGACGCAAAAAATTAAAATGACATTGTCATAACATTTTAACAGATATATTTACCAAAATTACACAAAAAATATCTTGAAATACGAAAGAGTAAATTTATTCAATAAAATCGCCATTGACCTCAATCACGGCCTCCAGACGACTTCGGAATCTCCTGCAACTCTTCTGGACGGTTTCCTTGTTTAAGTTGGTGAATGCCCCCATAATCATGCCTCCAATTTATCTTTATTTATATTTGTTGGTCTCTCGTTCAATAGCACCCCACATGAAATAATCAAGGAGGTTTGCAGTCTGGAGAGTTAGGTAGCCAGATGTAAGGGGTGATGTGGTTGCAGAAATTATCTGAAAACCAAGACTGGTTTCTCCCGCTTGTGTGACATGGTGCAGGGTCCTGTTGCCAGACATAAGTTTTTACGAGCAGCCATCCTATTAACCCAGGGCAGTACTACCTCCTCAAGCCACCTGATGTAGGCCTACGTGTTGGATCTGAGGTCCTGCTGGAAGAAGAATGGTGTCATAACGTTGGCGTAACGTTACAATCTACAAAGATTCAAAAAATTCAAAATAACGGCGCATGCGACGTTGGCCAAATTAAAAATCTATAAAATTAAAAAAATTTAAATTATCGCAACCGATAAACATAAACATTTATACATATATATATATATATATATATATATATATATATATATATATATATATATATATAATTTTTTGACGGAAATATGGATTATATCTCGTGCTTGATTTTATTCAATAATTTAGGTACACGTACGCTTCTCAAATTTTAAATTTGTAGCATCAAAAAATATATATTTAGCTCTATCGCCATTTTATTTAGCACTATAAAATTAACAATACCATGTGTTTTCCTAGAAGTAGATTTCAATTATTAATACTTTATATTGCATAAATATTATCTATCTATCTATCTATCTATCTATCTATCTATCTACATAGATAGATAGATAGATAGATAGATAGATAGATAGATAGATAGATAGATTATGAACGTGTTTGTCATTTTAATTCTGTTAAACGAGTATAGGAATAAAATGTAAATAAATTCTTGTGCCAAAATAAAGCATAGCATTTTAAGAAGATGACGTTTGATAATGCCACGCACGACAAACTTTGCTTCTAAAATTATCTGAAGGAATTTCTGAATGAGTGCACCTGAAGACACTAAAAATTACAGGTAACTTTGTGGAGCTCTTTTATTATCTGTTTCCATGAGACTTAAGAGCAATTCTTTACTTACCCTTGAAATTCGATATTGTTTTTTCAGGCAACGAAATTTAGCTCTGAGACATGATTTTGCGAATAAGCAATGCTGTTTAGGTTAACTTTTAGCCTGGCGATAATGTTGTTCGTTTTAACGAAGATGTTACTGAAAACAATTACTCTGCTTTTTTATTTATTTATTAGACCACTAGAAGCATGGCCCAGCGTTGCCTGTGCTTGATTCAAAAATCGTACGACAATCACTATCACTTGACTTAAAATATTTTTGCCCTTCCTTGCCTTTAAAGGAGTGTCCTTTGCCGGGCTGATGTTGCTAAATGTCTTACTTCTTGCCTATCTCACAAGGCGAAATTTTTCTAAGCTCTATACTAAACATTAAATCTTTTACGAAAAAAGAACTAAACAAAATGAACACAAAACGATCAGCTTTAAAAAAAGGACTCGTAACTGGAAAAACCGAATGAAAAAAGAATGTTAACAACAAATACTTTTTCACACCCAACCCAGTTCTGCGGAATCAGAATCAACGTTGAGTTTAAACAAGCGAATGAGCCAATTGGAGTAAAGTGCCATGCAGATTTAAATTTTTCCCACTTGTGACGAATGTAGCTATCATTTTTTTTGCATACTAGTATGCTAGTTAACATTCATGTCAGTCAGCTGTTGGCTCTCATGCTGGCCGATAGAATCTTCCTGCCTATTCGTGGCAACCAGCTATAGGCATTCACTCTGGCCAGTAGAAAATGGCCGCAAATTACATGAAAACTGCCGTAGAAGCATGAAAACATCGATTTCTTCAACTATCGATGGGAGTTGGGAAATGCAATGTCGATCTTGGCATTCTCGCTAACTTGGAGCATGTGCATGTAAATTTTGGTGCAAATCCGGCGAAAATTGCGGCCGTGCATTTGTTACACACACACACACACACACACACACACACACACACACACACACACACACACACACACACACACACACACACATCCTGCCTTTTATAGATAGAGATATCCTCTCAGTACGTACGGGAACATAGCTCTTCACAGATTCATTTTATTTTTTATTCTTAAGAATTACCAGGATATCTTGAGGAGTGTTGACGCGTTGTTATTCTTTGTCTTCACGACGGTTTTAAATGCAGAATAGTGTTTCTTTTAGACAAGTTGCTACTCGTAGACATCACCCTTTTCTCTGGTGTTTAGTCCGTAGCTGAGGTGGCCCAAAACAACAAGCATTTGAATACGGCATGTAAATGATAATTCCTAATTCTAGAAATTCACATAAGTATTTCACCAATATTCCTCTCTAGAATCTATTTAGAAAAATCCAGAACCCCAGCTGGAGATCCCATGCAACGCTTAAGACAATTTATGGAGAATTGAGACCAATTTCTTTTAAGCCTTTGAACTCTGCGTTCCGGAACAACCCTTTTGCACCTGAGTCAAAAATTCGCAAATAATTATACGTAATGTTTCGCGGTGGACAATAGTTACAAATGTTTACCCACCGTTCAACCGGTGGCTGGGCATTAAATTATTTTTCTCTACCACTGTTCAACTGCTTAGCTGGGTATAACCTCATTTTTCTCTACCAGTAAAGCAGTGGTCAGGGCTGAAAGGTTTAAGCTCAAACAAAAACGACTGGTTTGCTGGCCACTGCCACTGAGCGGATAGGGAGATTGTTATATACATGACATCCTTCTGGAAATGTGTTACGAAAATTATCTTTCCCAGAGACCATAGCCAGGGAAATATTGTTCGACATTGGGGATCTCGGGACAGCAATGCAGGACTGTAAGGATTATCAATGAATTTCTGACGTATCATAGAGAACGGTGAGGATGATGAGGAGTGTCGTGAAATGTATATGAATTTTGATACTAAACTTTCTCTTTTCAGAAAATGCTAAAGTAAAATAAGGATTCATATAATTTTTCTTACGTAGAGAAAATTAAAATATAAAATACTTTGTTTTATATTGAACGGAAAAAGAAAAAAATAAACTGGTTAAAAGTTATAACTGCAAATAAAACTCCAGGAATGATTGTCAAAACAGAAAACCTTGATTTTGACAAGTATTGGATTTCCATCTACAAAAAATAAAAAAAATAGATAAGTAAAAATAAAAATAAACAAAAATTATGAAGAAAACATTGTTGGAACTATTCAATAGAAAATCAACAGGCAAATATAAAAGAAAGTATGAATACAAGTACATTCATCATAAAAAAGAAAGCCCTTTACGAAGATCTGCATAAGATCTATATATATATATATATATATATATATATATATATATATATATATATATATATATATGTGTGTGTGTGTGTGTGTGTGTGTGTGTGTGTGTGTGTGTGTGTGTGCTTGTCTTTGCATCAAAGTGATAAATCTGTTTCCGAATTACGAATATATAAATAGAATATTATATGCGCATAGCTCATAAAATATGGACAAAAAGCATAGGTGCTGAGATGGTCGGTAAAATTTATTAGAAAAATGGTAATCATTGCATTAAAACGTGAAAACTATCAGCGTATTTCTTTGAGAGAAGAAACATTTAAAAGAACGATCAAATTTAAAATTAAAAAAGTACAGTGTAGCAGCATAAAGTATATATATATATATATATATATATATATATATATATATAGAGAGAGAGAGAGAGAGAGAGAGAGAGAGAGAGAGAGAAAGGGAGAGGAGAAGAGAGAAACTTGCCTACTGTCACATAGGCACACAGGCAGTAATAAAAGTTACATAATTTCCGTTGGAGGGCAAATGGAACTGCTGTCTCTAAAGTAGCAAAGCATTAATATTCGGATTTAAAAAAAAAAGAATGAAAGAATCGTTGAGTGCATTAATAAATAACGTATTGTTTTACGCTGTACAAATATTTTTTACAAACATCCGTTAGCTGGAATATATGGACAAATTAATGAGTACATTTGGCTATATCTCTACTTAACTCCCTTTCTCTTCCTTTTGTCTCGCTACCCTCACACACACAAACTCACATACACAAACACACATACACACACAGACACACACACAGACACACATAGAGACACATTCTCATACAGACAGGCACTCATATATATATATATATATATATATATATATATATATATATATATATATATATATATATATATATATGTGTGATAAGATAGGATAAATAAGAGATAGGAAACGTTTACAAATATAACATATCTCGTTTTTATGTAAGCTAAATCAGAAAATTAAATATGCCGGGAAAAAGAACAATCTGGTAGATTTTGTGTTTGTCTTTTATTGGTTAAGCAAACGATACAAAATTAAAATATATCCGAATTTTATTTTCTCTTCCATATTTCATTTTCTGGTGAAGCTTAAATAAAAGAGAAACATCTCAAATTTATAAACGTTTAATATTCCTTCCTTATGTTATCGTTCTGTGGGATTCTAATCCATATTTGATATATATTTGATCCAGTGCACATATGTGTGTGTTTGTGTGTGTGATAAAAAATACAGTTTTAAGGTATGCTATATGTATGGGTAAAAGTGCTCAGTATCAGGGATTATGCTAGTCTAAATATAACCGTGGGCACTGAAGTCAACACCGTGTGATAGCAGTTCATACTTGAAGGTAATATTCAGGCTTTGTGTATTGGTAACTCGACTATATATATATATATATATATATATATATATATATATATATATATATATATATATATTGTCTTTCTTTCCCTAGACCAGTTGCCATCCAAGGCTATAGAACCCAGTTTGTACTGCTATTTTACCCATAGCTGGAGGGAGAAAAAGAGGATTCATACCTTTCCAAAGGTTATTAGCACGTAAGTGAATGTAATGGATTCGACTGGAATTCGAACTCGGTTCTGCGATTCCTCAATCCAAGCTGCTATCCATTACTCCACCATGCCAAAAAACCTGCGGAGGGTCGTTTGGGAACCTTGTGGCATTCGATGCACCAGGTCTCTGTATTCGTCCCTTCAAAAAGTGTGAAAATTTCCAAGATGATAGAATCCATGTAGAACTTATTGTCCAGGACAGAGTAAGAATATAATATAAAAGGCTCAAACACTAATATTCCCTGGTTATAATTCATTACATTGAAATCGTAATCACGATCCAAATCATCAGCCCTACAAATTCAAAAAGAAATCAGAGAATATAAGTACGGGAATAAAAAACAAAATTTTAGTGAGATTGTAAAAAAAGAGGGAAACAAGTGTGAGAGGGAAATGTATGAAAGCTCTAGAGAGAGGGTGTAATAAAAGAAAGAAGAACAGGAAGGTATAAAGGTGAAGGTGGGGATTAAAATTTAACAGAGAGATGTTTTAAAGAGTGGAGTTAAATAACGGTTTATATGAATGAGATTCAGATAAATATGAATTATTTTCAGATAAATATGAATTATTTTCAGATGCATAAATCACTTGATATGAAATACCTTTATTATGAGACATAATTATTTCCACACAGCTGCCTTTAGAATAATTTAAAATATAACCGGTAACACCAAAATCGATGGACGAGAAACGGTAAAAATCTGCTGGTAATGAGACATTATAGATAGCAAGATCAGATATTTCCCCTTTCTCGGCCATCGGTTTTGGTATTACCAGTTATATTTCAAATTATTCTAGTATTCAGCTGATTAGAAATAATTATGTCTCACAATAAATGTATTTTATATCTACTGTATAAGATTATTTGTTTACATTTATCGTGTAACTCATTATTTATTGCTTGAAGGTATATTGTATCCATTTACTCATTATTTGATGTCATATGTTATTATTAAATGTACACTTCTTCACGAATATATTTTTATCGAAAGGGCATGTCGCATCCGAAACATAATTTCTAAACAAGGAATTCATATTTAATCCGCCGTTTTTTTGTTACATAAACGTTATTATCATTGATGCTAGTATATTAAATAAACATCGTATTTTTATTTTTATTTAAAATGTATTCATTATGATTTTATTAAAATTTATCGAATATGTGGCTCGATATACATAAGAGACACAGTTTAAATTAGAAATGGGACGTATATTCCAGATACAATAATCCACTATAATAAAGCTAAAAGTAATAAACATATCGGATTATATATAAACCCATTAATTCTCATATATATTCTCATATATATTTCTCATATATATATATATATATATATATATATAGATAGATAGATAGATAGATAGATAGATAGATAGATAGATAGATATAATTCCACATATGGTTGGCAAGTTTGATGTGTGATAGTACCATCTGCGCTTGAAACAGCCATTCGTGCAGCCTATATATGTGTTAATTTGACCATAAATATTTGTTACTTCTGCTTTATAAATAATAGATTCCGTTTCGTAATCTCCATTTAATGGGCATCTAATTTTATTTCTATAGTTGCATAAATTATTAGTATTATTTTGCTGCACGTTGGTTTTGAGGTTTCTGTTATTTTGTCTTTTTATTATTTTATCTTAATTACTTGTGCTGCTGAAGCTTAATTTCACTGTATTTTTATTGAATATCTTATGTAATTCTAAATTGTTAGGGAAGTATTTAGAAAACAACATGAAAAATAATTTACCTATATTAAATTTCGCGTCTAAGTTAAAAAGGCGATTAAACCAAATAATATTTTTTTTTCTTTTCCTTGAAATCGCTTTCGTATAGTTTTTTAATGTGTTGAGGTTTAAATTCTAGTTTTGTTTTGTGACCCTCTGCGTTTACGTCTATCTTATATTCTTTCTTTCTTCAAAAATTGTCATACATGAACAACGTTTGGATAGTCTAGATTCTTTTCCATTGGGGATATGCTTAATTATATTTGGGGGTGTTGGATTTAATATTTACGTATCTTAACTTTGCATTAGGTTATATATATATATATATATATATATATATATATACGAGATAATACTTTTGGGAAAGGTATGAAGGGTATGAAACCATCTTTTCTCCCATGGGTAAATAGCATGTCAGAGTGGGTCTTATAGCCTTGGGTGGGGAACAGTCTAGGAGAAGGGCAACTCTGAATTCAATATGCGGTGGTTTGTTTACAGATCTTATGGCATACTGTGCACCATTTACTTGTATTCAGTTCTTCCCAAAATTGTGGTTGCTTCTGCACATGCCTTCACAATTATAATAAAATGATATGTACAGTTAGGCTGGCTGTTGGTACTAAGAACTTAGGTTGAGACATATATCTCAAATAAATCCAAAGGAATATTTATGTGGACATTTCGAAGCTATAATACAGTATTAAATTCTTAGTTGATACCTGTACATTTAGCAATATATGTTTAATCGGCGTTCAAAGAAAAAACTACACAAACTAAAACAATACGCTATAACAATCACATTAAATGTTAGTCAGTTATGTGCCATGCGTGATCGGGTGCCTCGTCGTAGTGTAATAGTTGGCAAGTTTGTTTCGCTATATCAGTTACGACTGAAAAGTGAGTTTGATCCACACTAGGTGGCCCATGCTTTCAGTCTTCTGCCGCATCTAAGCTACGATTAGAAAATAACTATGTGCCATGCGTGATACACGCTTAGGCGATCATGTATCTTTCGGTATTTGACTGACGAGGCAGATTTTTTCCTGAAGTAGGTCACACTAAAAATGTAACTGAGCAGAAGTAATCAAAATCCAACTCCCCAGAAACCGTGAAATATTTAGTCTTTATCCACATCTATATATAAATTGAAACTTTGCATCTCGTCTTGCCTTGAGAATCTGCTGTACCCAAATAATATTGTCTCTTATATACATACATAAACATACTCAAACACGAATACTTACAAGCGTATCTATGTATAGACATACACATATTTGCATGTACACTGCGGCAACGTATTTATTAAATAAAACGGTTAATGCATCTATTTCCGACATGTATGTTGATTTAAAAAATAATTCTATAATTATTGTATTGGTCACCCGTCATCCATAAAATTTATTGTAGATTGGCAAATATATTTCCAGCGCGATTATAATATTTACTTCAGCAAGAGTAGAACAAAAACACACTAAATACAAAGTACAAAACAAAATAATAAAATATATCCAAAATTAAAAACATCACTGATTTATCCACATAAACTACGGCTTAAAATAAATATAATCATGGCGGATGACAGATTTGATCCAGGCCGTCTGCAACAGAAAAAAAAAAAAATGAAAATGAAAGAGAATAGATAAAAATCATAGAAATATAAATTTCTTATAAATCAAGAGAAAATGGCACAAACGTATCAGGTAATTTTTTTTGTAAAAATCGCCAAAAAGAATAACACCTTTCAAAGTCTGGCTTTTTCTTTATTTATCAGAATGTATGTGTCTGGTGTGTGTGTGTGCGTGTGTGTGTGTGTGTGTGTGTGTGAGAGAGAGAGAGAGAGAGAGAGAGAAAGAGAGAAAGAGAGAGATAGCGTTTGTGTGAGAGAGAGCGAATACGCGCCCATGCTCTTGTACGCATTTTTATGTTTGCTATTACTGACATCCAATCGACCTTGAAATACGGAATCACATATGTGTACCCACGTTCAGGACGCAAAAGATTAATGATGAAAAGGCACAGATTGACTTTGCAACGCAAACTTCAGCCATCACTTGAAATGAAATACTTAAAAACAAACAAACAAATTGAATTTGTGGACAATTCTCTATAAATATATAACTCCTTAAATAAGAAAAAAAGTGAAAGAATCCAACTGGGATGTCAATTTAGTGGGGAAAAGAAGAAAAAAGAACAGTTTTATAATTTTTGGGTTATTTTTATATCATATATTTTATTTTTCATTATGGGTTAATGGTTGTTTAGTCTTTAGAGTCGCGATGTGGTAGTATGTAGCGTAGTATGAATTTGTTTTCTTCATTTTAAAATGTCTCTTTATGCAATAACGATCTATATGGAGAACCGAGTATTCTTCGTCATATATATATATAGCAAATCCAAATACGCACAAACACACTGTGTGTGTGTGTATGTGTGTGTGTGTGTGTGTGTGTGTGGAAGTGTGTGTGGAATTCGAATAGTTATGAATGTTAGCGTAAAGGAAAGTGATTCGGTTCTTAAAATTGAGTGAATATTTATTATACATATGGTGTGTAATGCTCGAAGAATTCAAGATATTTTTCTTGATTTCGACTAGAGTTTTCGTTAATATGATCACTAATGTATATAGTGGGGGCTTACGGCCACATAAAATTGAATCATTAGTTCCCGTATGATTACTGAAGTTAAGCAAAGTCGAGTCTGTTCACTACCTAGATGGGTGACCGCTTGGGAATTCCAGGTGCTATAGGTTTGTACGTGCACATGGTGTAATGGATAATGGCAATGAATTATAAATCACAGTGCCGAGTTCCAATTCCCATTGGGTTCATTATATTCACCTACGTGCAAATACCATTGGCAAAATTATGAATCAAACCTATTCCCACATCTATGGGTTAATGAGTAAGAATTGTATCGCTAAAATCATTATTTTCCCGAAAAAGAAAATTGTTAAAATCTCAAATTATTTCTTGGCTTTTAATAACCTGCAAATATTGATAAGCTGAGGAAACAAATCAATCAATCAATCAGTATATGGCGGAGATTACCGATGTTTTTTATTTCTGTTCAATTTTTTATTCGAAGAGTTAACGACGGTGTTTTGTATTTGTTCTTAAAATGATGTTTCTGTCGATAGACCATGTCTGTTACGTTTGTACGTTTTCCTTGAAGGAACAGTGAAATCCAATCCGGTCATTTTTCTTAATTGTACACATGGAAAAGGCTTAGAAATATAATGGCCGAAATGTTATGACTGCAGAAAATAGTTCAATAGTTCGAAAAATCATTGCGAAATTGAAGCAACTAATCTTGGATTATTAGAAAATCTTGACCATTCCCAACTTTTAACCCATTATCAGGTGTAACCGTCATGTCTATGTGCAGATGGGTGTCTGACGAGCTATTTTCGCATATCTCGTTTACATGCCAATACCCCAGTCTTTTAAAATGATCCCCCAATTTGCTTAGTTTCTCAGTTATGTCATCTGCCCATTCTGTCTTCCCCTTTTGCCTTTGGTGGTACATTACCTTAACATTTATAATGTGTCGATTTTCTACTCTTCACAGTGACTATGATATGGGTCTTTTTTCTAGTCTGATGTTATCTCACACTGCATCATTGATGGTGCCCTCTACTCATGAAAAGCCTAGTTTGGTTCTGTAACATCTAATTTATCATGTATGGATTCTTCGCAGACAGATTTAGAAGGCCAACGCACGAAAGTCTGATATCAGGTATCGGATATATTTTTAGCCTCTTTTTTACTAAGTGATCACCTAATACAAGGCCTAAGCGCCACTCAAGGTAAAGGCTTGCTGAATGAGGTTGTTGTATAAACTTAAGAGTTGCAGTAGTTATCAAGTTAAATGTTAGAAAAATTAATGGTGATTATAATCATGCAGAGATTAACCATTTCCATTCAGGCAATATTCCATATTCATTGATCAAATATTTAGCGTTTCTGTCGGTCGAAATTTATAAAGTCTTTTTCAAAAGAGAGTTATTTAGTGACATAAGCTTTTCAAATCCCCTATCTGTTATCGCTCTTTCTAATACTAAAGGGAGTTTCCTTTTAAACCGCAGTTAATCTGGGGCGGCAAAGGCAATGATGCCTTCTAATGGGCCTTTTTTCTTCTTTGATGTTGTCTCACACTGCATCATTCATGATGGTGTCTACTCATGAAAAGCCTAGGTTGGTTCTGTAACATCTAATTTATTATGTATGGATTATTCGCTGACAGATTTAGAAGCCCAACGCAAAATCTGATCTCAGGTATCTGACAGATGTTCTTGTCTTTACAGTTGTTCTTTAAGTTTGCTACAGCTGCCATTGTTGACTTGCACGGAAAAATATTCAAGTAATCAGGAACATCTACTATGAAAAAAAAATTGCATGAGGTACATTACGTGTTCAATAAATATACAAAATAAAAAAAGAGGTAACATAATATGTTCTAACGTATTTATATTCAACCCTATACAGTGTGATGATAAAATCAGGACTGGAATATCTTCCAGGATTTATTATTGACGGATAATGATCCTAATAGCGTAAGATACGGAGATATCTCTTTATCGATGAGAGACTTGGAAAGAAAAAAAAACATTAGGAAAAGTAACTTTGTTAAAGAAAAGACTGTCAGTATGTTTGTAAGAGAAAGACATAAAACAATTTTGTTTTTTTAACGGCATATAAACACCTTATGGGTCATTTAATCCCGAAATTTAATTTTCTTGGCAGCTTTGTAATTTTCCCTACAAAAATGTATTGCTGGTATTTTTTTCTAAAACTTTATTGTCGGTAATTTTCAAAAAAAAATTGCTGGGAATTTTTACTACAGAAATGCATTGCAGGTATTTCTCACATATAAAAATATATTTTTATACTTACATCGTATTTGACGCCGGTTTGTGACTTAACTGTTTTCCCATATCTGGGACACTAACATGTGCTAACACTCAGAGTAAGAATGGACCTGTGCACGCTGCAATTAAGACATGGTGTCACACTCCTCAAAACCTACAGTTCAGATGTCTTGCTGCCGGATGTAATTTATCATCATACCCAGAAAGGTACAGATGAACGTGGGGGTTATGTATTACGGAATTCAGCATCTAGCAGCCACATATATTTAACTTTCTGCCTAGTGCAATAAGAAAAGATTGAAGTTGTGAGTCAAATTATATCGGCGCAATGAAAGCTGCCTTACTAAAATAAACAAAGTTTGATGAAATACAAAAATATCCTTAGAATAAAAAAAAAGATCGCTGTTCTGCAATATCATGCCTAATCTCCAAAATGGTGATGAATAATGAACAGTTAGCTCATAGATGAAGAAAGGACCAGAAGCGTGAGTGATGTGATTCTATCGACGAATGCTGAGAATACCATATAAGTAACGAGGAAGTTTTAATTATAATAGGAATTACAAGTATAGTTATATTAAAAATAAGAAAGAGGTTACGTTTCACAGATACAACATGAGGAAAGAGAACCTGGAGAATGTAACACCTACAGGATGAACTAAAGGAAATAAAATGGAAATAATACAGTACTTGCCTGCAGTTACATTTCCTTTGATCTGTGCTGCGGACGCTGATCAGTATGATACTGATCCCTCTACAACAGATACGTATTTCCGATCCCATGTACTACATGATAATTTAGAAATTAGAGACTGGTTTCATGAATGTTCTTTTGAATGCTGTTGCAAATATCGAAATACCACCAACGCATCACGTTCAACATATGTGGCCAATCTCTGAAATAACTATCTACACTGAAAGAGTAGATAGTCGTACAATCCGAGTCATCGGAACTCATATAATTGAACGATACGAAAACATATCCGTGTTTGTGATATGAGACATACTTTACTGGATTATCTCACAGTTGCAAGGTGCGTTACCTTAAGACCAATATGGTACACAGGTATTATTGTTAACTAACTTAAAAGCCGCAATGTGTGCGGATTATAAGTTAGCTCCTGGGCAAGGTTAATTGGGCCTCTGACCCAGAAATAAGGGGACAACTAATCTAGCTTAGAAAACATCAACGATTATTTTGAAGAAATAACTTTGCATTCCTCAATTCACTCGATGGAACTTTAATTCGGGCGATAAATCGAATTCCGGCCAAAAGATCGATTTGGGCTGAAACTCCAATATGGGGAGGAAATTCCAATTTAAGCTGAAAATTGAGTTCTTAAAATCACAAATTCCGTGGAACTTTACTGAAGTTCTTCAAATCAAAAACTGTAGAACTTCAAAACCTGAAGTGACGAATCCTCTAACTTTAACCCTTTAATTTAATATTTATTTAATACATTCCCAATTTTAGAGGCTTTTTAAACTGAATTTGAAATAAAAAAAATAAATTCACAAAGTTTTTGTGCTACTTTATACTCAGTAGAAATTAAAAGCATTCAAAATCACTAATTTTGTTCAGTTATTTTAAAATTTGAATTTTAACTCTCCCCTTCTCATACGAACAAAAAACCAATGCTCGATGATCAAGCACCAGATGGAGGGCAGATGATCAATTCTCGGATCATTTTGATACCATAAAATGTATATGTTTATGTATACTAAATATTGCCCGATTTAGAAGGGTTTCGCCCCCATGTATAGAGGAGCAGATTTACCGTTTATTTATTTAGATAATCCAGAAAACAGCAGAAGTCTTTGATTTTTGTTTAACATTAACTAATAACCACTAGATTACACATATTATACCCAGATCACCTGTCCTGTCTTAACTTTGTAATAATGAAATATACGGGAAGTGCATAAATGTCTCAGTTCGATCATCTTTCACAGTCTGAACGAATGATTAAACATCATTATTTTTTCAAGATTCAGGTTGAAACGTTTTTAGCACACAGTCTATACTCGTATTACACTGAATTCAGACATATTGATTATTTATTCCGATAAAAGAATTTCACACAATCAGAGTCAATTTGAGAACAACACCAAACGGGATTTTTTTTTTACTAAGCAATGTTTTCCATCCCAAAGTTCATAAAAATTAAAGACAATGAAATTTTACACCAGGATTATAACTTTCTTAATGGACATACCAGTTTCTTTTGAGAAAAAAATATGTCCCATAATTATCTCTGTATTATTAAACTAAATAAAGTACTTTGTATTAAATTTCCCATGAAATATTAGATACATTGCCGTAATACTTTAAAGCACATATTAATATATATTATCTTTGACAGTTCAGAATAAGATAAACGTAATTTAGCAATGAAAGATAAGCACACTTGGCATTATAAGGTGAACCATGCATGAATCCAGCGAGCTACACGTCACTTGTCTGGGGCAGAATAAGGTACGCTGATTCAAATTTAGATTTTAGATTTATTGTTATTTTCACTATTATTCCTAACTTTTTTTTTCTGTTTTATCTTAGCAGAGTTTAACTCTTATTATGAACACATTTTTTCTTTCTTTATAAGTGCCATGTACTTTCAGGAGTTTGGTGATCATGGCTTTCCACCTCCATCGATATGTTCCTTGCCTCTGCTAACTCCCACAGACCACATTCTGTCATCCACCGGCTCAAGCCCGACAGGAATGTCACGCGTTGCTTTCCTCTGTCTCTCTTTTCCTCTATTCGACCCGTGAGTATCAAATTCTTAATGTGTTCTTTCCAGATTATATGTCCCGGAAACTTCAGCTGCCTCTTCCTTATGTTAAACATGAGTCTCTTCTTTGTCTGCATCCTCTCCA